CCTCCGTCCCAGGCACAGTATGTGTGCCTGGGACCCTGCTGGAGAGAGAAGAGGAAGAAGCCGGAAACGTGGTGGCCCTGCCGGGTCTGCTTCACGTGTGAGATTGCACTTTTGGGTGTGTTGGTGGGAAGCTAAAAGGTAAAAGTCCATGGACTTTGTCCACGAGCTCTTAGGAGCCACCCCCGCCCCATGTGTGTGTGTGCACGCTTCGTGAAGATTGACAGTCTCAGAAGCCCAAGCCCCCATGTGCGTCCCTGTGAGGATAGGGACCCCCTGAGTTGGAACCAGCTCAGTGGCAACAGGTTTGGCTTGTGTTTGGGACTGTGCAGCCAAGGGTGAGGAACGCAGGTCTGGGAAGACACGCATAGCTCACCAGGATTCTAGCGTGCCTTTGTTCTTTCCAAAAGGGTTAGAAGGCCTTTTTCAATGTTTCATGGAACAGAGATAGTTTGGGGAAACCTGAGTCTTGTGTGTATTTGTTGTTGGGTATCAATGAGTTAATTTTCACTTCTCGTGCCCCCTGTGACAGGGTAGAACTAACTGTCCCATTGGTTAGAGACTGTCATCTTTAGAGAAGGAGCCCTAGTAGTGCAGTGGTTAAGTGTCTGGAGACTAATCCAAAGGTCAGCAGTTCCAGTCCACCAGCTGCTCTTTGGGACCAAGATGAGGCTGCCTGCCCCTCTGAAGTCTTGACAGTCTGGGAAACCCTACGGAGCAGTCTCGGAAAGCCTGAGCTTATAGCCAATGGGAACCCAATGAGGCAGTTCTGTAGGAATCACAGTCTACTCAAATGCAACGGAGGAACCTTTATGGGGTCAGATCGCCAGGTCTTTCTCCCTGGAGCTGCTGTGGGGTCTGAACTGCTAGCCTTTGGGTTAGCAGGTGAATGCTTCTCCGTGGTGCTATCAGGCCTCTTATGTATGTATTTAGGAGTACAACCTCTTTGATGGCTTTTTTGATGGATGAGTTTACTTTCTGGCCTGTCCCTGCTCCCTGGGCTGCTCTACTCCCTCCCCAGCTGCCCCCAGGCCGGGCAGGCAGCAGTGGGCCAGCTGTCTTTCTTCCTCAGCCAGGGAAACAGGAGGAGGAGATGAAGCAGCCTGCCTGGAAGAACCTGCTGTTTCTCAAGGGCAAGTGCTGGCAGTATAAAAAGGCCATTTTGTATTCACGGCAGGGAAGCATGCCATTCATGCAAGCTGTCACCTGTGCCTCCCGAGTCTGCTGGGGGTCCGAGCTACTGTCACTTGATGTACCAACATGCACTGCTCTTCCAGAGATGGATGTCCTCTCTGCTGTTTAACCAGGTTGCTCATGGTGTTTGGCATTTGCTGTGGCATCCAGCAGCTCTTATGATGGATGGCTGACCTTCTATTATGTGCGGCTCCATTGAGCTGGGGCCAGCCTCCTTACTGTTGGCTGTCCTTTGGTCTTGCTGTCTCCAGGGACAACAGGAACCTTAACCTGGTAGCTAGGAAGGACTCCCCTGGGTGCATCGGTCCTGGACCTCCAGTTTTGGGAAAGCTGTTCCCATTCTTAAGAAAGCCTTGCTGGTGTAGCAGGCTAAGTATTGGGCTACTAACCACAAGTTCAGAGGCCCAAACCCACCAGCTGTTCCATGAGAGACAGATGAGACTGGCTGTTCCCATAAAGATTTACGGCTTTGGAAACCCCACAGAGTGGTTTTATTCTGCCCTCCAAGGGTCCTCTGAATCACAATTGACTGGGTGGCAGTGTGTGTGTGTGTGTATGTGTATGTGTGTGCGCGCGCACACTTACTCAAGCACACTTTCTGTGACTCAAACCCATAACTAGCAAGTCAATTTCTACTCATAGCAGCACTGCATAGGGGGTTTGAAATGATAATCTTTATAGGAGCAAACAGCTTCATCTTTCTCCCAAGAGCAGCTATAGTGGGTTTGAATTGGCTGGCCTGAGATTGGCAACTCAATGCCGAACACACAGCACCAGATGAGTTGGGTGGCTAACCACAAGGTCAGCAGTTTGAAGCCACCAGCCACTCCTCAGGAGAAAGATGGGGCTCTTGCTCCTGTAAAGATTTACAGTCTGGGAAACTCTAGGGACCGATTCCACTCTGCCCTCGAGGGTCACTCTGAGTCTACGTCGACCGATGCCAGGGAGTTGTTTGGGTTTCCTGCCTGGCATTTAAGGGTCCTGGGAAATCTCTGTTGGCTTCGTGAGAAGAGGGGTTTCTGGCTTGAGCTGGGTACACAGGGAAGGAGAGGGGTGGCCTTTGAAAATGACCCTGCATGAGAAATGAGAGCCGAAGGCTGTGGCAG